TCGAGATGTACTTCAAAACTATGACAAATTACTAACGAAATAACAATAGTTGAAAATTATTCATTTTTTGTAAAGTTTTGTAACATCAACATTCGAAATTGTTTTCATCTCAAGAATGATAAATGAACGCGCGTGTTTAGATAATAGCTCTCAATCCAGCAGTAACATAACATTATGAGCGGTGCGGGCGACGCGGTGTGGAGCGAGTTCGCCACAATTCTTGGCGCCACAACAGCTCTAACGTATTTATCTCGATGAAGCCAGAGCGCTTGCCTTGACCGTGCTAAATTAACACTTTCTAGCGTCCTTCTATCTAGTGGATGAAGTTATCGACGTAACTCGAGAGGGTTACGGTCAGATAACACTCGATCAAGTTCAAAGCTTAGCTTGTTGTTTAGACGAAGTGTAATGAGCCAGCCGTCACTGCTGTATGTTAATGCAAACTATTGCATACGAATAGCTGCTATCATCTTTACAGGCCAACGGATTATATACATGTAAACTTTTATTTTTCCATTCCAGTAGGACGATCATTTACCTTCGTCTACATGAGTAAATTATTTTTACGTCATGCTTTAAAATTAGAATACTAACAAGATGTTTAGTAACCATCACGAAACGTTTTCTGTTTGTATAACTCAAACATTCATTAGTTTAATATAATCTCAACATGGATATGTACTATAGAAACAATTTATACTTATGAACACGAATTTATAGGCGATTGATGTTATTGGCTCTCCATTGGTTATCATCATTGCTATCTAGTGATGTATAACTAAACTCAGCTCTAATTTATGAACGGATGATTCCAATAATTCCATGTACAAGTATGATGCTGTAATAGGCATCGATCAGCTTGCAATAACTCGACATGAATGTATATTGCAAATTATAACTATGGAGACATCTGTTACGTAATTAAAATAAGACAAGTATTAGAACCTTCCAAATTATACGTTTACGGCCTTCTTGTGCCCGCATGCGGCTGAGATAGCACCTGCGGATGTGATGACCACACCTGCGACTAACGATCAATAATAAACTCGTAAATTGCAATATTACATCACTAACTTCTTCATTCTTATAGATAAGATCAACGTTTATTTGTTTTCCGTTGCTTACTTACCGTAAATAAGAGAACAAGAATGTTGTCGAATGGTAGACTGCGTGGAATGTTTGCAAATTGAAACCATCTAAACACCCAAAAGAAGTGAACACGACACAATTCATGAGCACGCTTCGTTCCATTGTCTAAAACGCGACTCCCATCATATATTCGATGCAGAAATTCCTGATGTCGTATGCATGGGCACGTTCAATTGCTTCGTCAAATCGGCATTGAACGATACAAGTGATCTTGCTTTTGGATTATCGTAAAACTATTTTCGTGTATCGACTGTAGAGTGCGCGTAAATCACTTAGGCTATTTTTTCCATAGCGTTTAGAAACATCTCAAAATAGCAATACACGTAGGTATGGCTTTTAATGACGTAACACTTGCCGTGCGTTCAATGTGATACGGAATTGCATGATATAACAGTAATATCTGGTCGGGATCGAAAGAGAGTGGCCACCACGATGTGTCATAAATCGATGTGGTCGGACCACGCTGTGGTTTTAGGGTTACCGTGGTTATAGAACAAGAACTCGTTGAAATTGGACGTTGATTCCGACTCTAGTAAAACTTTTCTCGTTACACACATAGTTGTTTCCAACTGAACGTCATGTAAAGGCCGCGATGGCTGTGGTTTGCGACAATTCTACATCTCTGGCATATTTTAGATACCATAATGCAACTTTGACCTGTTAATTGCACTTCATGAAAGTTGAAGCAAAAGTTGAGGTTCAAACTACGTCAATGGTCGGTACCGTAAAACATTTTTGTCGGTACAAGGTCTCGCCACAAGTTCTGAACTTCGATGTGCCGTCATAGTGCGTTCGATACTTTCACTAGTTTTAGCTGCATAATGTTTCCAACGATTATATTTATTTTAATTTTCTCAAGTCTCACAAACAGTTCCCAAACAATAACATACCAAATATCTCACCAGTTCGCATTTCAATTACCAGCAAATTCGGTATAAATTTGGTTCCATAATCTGATTTCCAAAAATCGATAGGATTAATTAGAAATTATCCAATCAAGGTAGGCGCTTACCCCGGTATCTCCACTATGTGGTAGTTTATACCGTGACAGGTGATCGACGATGTTGGAATAACATGTATGATGAATTTATGTGCTGACGTCGGCATTTTTGTACACTCCCGCCGAACCTTTAACATTATCGAATTTCCTTTCGATATTCACTGAAAGCTAGCTCTATTAAATTAACGGCGGCCGCAGTCGAGGCTCAGGATTCTATTAACTTGCGTTTTTCTTTTCATTAAATGTTACATCCTGACCTGCTAATTTTCCAATATTTTCTCTCTCAAAATAACAGTTGTGGGTACATGTTGAATATGTTTGTGTGTGGAAAATGTGTTTGTTTTGCCGGTCGGTAGGTAAACAATCAAATTATTGGAGCGGGTCGGGGAATTATTTGAACCAGTCTGCTATACACTAGCAATAAAATCATTGTCTTGTATGTTTGGTGTGGTTTCAGGACATGGTGCTTATGTTGCATCGCCGGTATATGTAGTTGGTATTTAAGTAAGGGTGTCCTGTTTGTTCAAACGTACTTATATTACCAAACATCATAAATGGAGCAGTCTTACGAATTCATTTCGTGTACTAACAGTCAGCGAGTCAGTTAGTATTTCTGAATCTTTGAAAGATCTTAAATCCGTGAAAGTTGGTTAAAGTGTAAGACAGACAGATCAGATGACGCTATTGTGAAGCTGCAATTCTGGATATTGTAATTGTTTGAATACAGGTCTGAAGCACTGATGCACTGTGTCCGTAAACTTTGCGGACCCGGTTGGTCCAAACGAAGTGTTTTAAATAAAGTTGTTTTTGTCGCTGAATATCCAAATAGACAAATTGTGCTCGTGAACTTTAAACTTCATTCGCATACCTACCGTGTGCAATTTTACATCGGCATTCACGCTTGCATTGCAATTAATATTTTCATAATTCACAGAGAGACCTATCATTTGCCGCTATCGATTTTATCTCTTTGTGTATTAAGTTTGGAATGACGGTAGCTGCGTACTCAATGTAGCTGTCTGCTGTTACAGATGTAGTTTGTTTATCAATTTTAACATGTTACAAGCAAAAAGATCAACGGTATAATTTGCAGTCAAGTTAAAAAGTTTGATCAATATTTTCTTTACGATTTAACTTTTTGGGAGAAACAATATCAAACACAGCAAGCCGCGAGCGAGCAGGCGCTACACGGCGCGCTTTATCTTTATCGGTGTGTCCGTGACATTTCCACGCCCTAGGCCCTCGACTGTCGCATCAAATACCATCCTTTACTCACTGATACAATGACCCGGCCCAAATAACGAACGGCAAACCACCAACTCTCGATACCAATCTGTAAATAGTCCGGTACTCACTTCGATCAACTGTTGTTATATCAAGTTTATCGAAGAATACTCGTTTACTTGTATTTACAAACATGTCATTAGCTTTGTTACATGACAAATGGATTGTTATCGTACCTTTGCTTGCATGTTTAATGAAGTACTGGGTTGTTAAATGCAGATTCTCAATAAACTTCTAAAGCCAGCATTTATTTACCTATTAAAAATACACACTCGACTTTGTTAATTGCTTGTGTTCAGTGTTAAACGTTTTATTTGTATGTTGAAATATAAACTCTTCTTTTTTATGGTATTCCGTATTTAGGGAGTAAATCGGGTTGATCGGCAAACGTTATTAGGTATATCAATCACCCGTCGGATTTCTCATTTTGTGGGTACAGTGCGTGGGACCGGTAAGAATGTTTTCGATTACATTACTCAATATTGATGATTTAACTTAGTAAGCTTCAGAACAAACTCAATTAAAATAATAATAGAAAGTTGATAAAAATGGGAACAACAGAAACATGAACTATTTTTAAATTTTCTATGTGAAATGGACGTAGGTACAAGTGATGATTTAGTTATTGCAAAAGCATTTGAACAACATTGTGGGCTTTCCCGAACCTGTCAATTTTGTCGCTAAATAATAGTACTGGTGGTTCATAGTGAAGAGGCGCGTCAATTTTCCTGTCATGTCTCCTTCAACCATTGGTGGAATAATGCAACTTATTACTGTTTGTCGTAACAATTATCGTACGTGGACCTCCTGTCATTACATGTACTTGAGTTGATTGTTACCTTCGTGCAGCGTGAGTGACATTTGTGTCTGTTCCAATTAAAGCGATGATTATTTTTTTAGTTATTTACATCCAACCCTGTACCTACAATTTTGTAGTTGTACGCAAGTACATATTAGCGAATTTACGAGTCTGTAAACGGTGAATGTCGTGCCATATTATGTTCAAAAAATACCCCTGCCTACGTATCTACGATATAGCTGACAAACATTCAAGTGACCCTATAAATACTTAAAAAATAGGTCAAGCTGGTCAAGAGAAGAATTACGTACCCTCGTTCACCATGGCTTTGTAGATTAAATTAATACATTTTCAACGGTGAGGATATTAATTAATTACATGCTCATAAAGAACATAAGTTTTTAATGACATATGAAATTGGAAAAATTATGTAGGACGACTACTACCTAGTTTGTCAAATGCATAATTAAATAGGAGAGTGAAAGTGTATACCTTCGTTTCAAAGATACAAGTTAGAGAGCAAGGAACACGAGACTGGCGTATCGTTAGCGTCTAGACTAGAGCCAGGTTAAACTTTCTTATCGCGAAAATTGATATTACTCTGAGACTATGAACAATACTTAAACGATAACTGACTTACTTACTTTACTAAACTTGGATAGAACAGCTTTCGAGATACTTACGGCTTATATACCTAGTCTCATAATATTTATTTGCACTAGTTTCTCATTTGTGCTTGTACCTAATCTATGTTTTTTTTTGTTCTAGGTATTCAAGATGGGTTGCTTTGTGAGTAAAGATAAACTGACCAAAGAAGATATGGACTTCTTGAAAACTCACACGTCCTATGATGAGACTACCATCAAGGAGTGGTATAAGGGTTTCAAGGTAGGAATTTTAAAGCTTCAACAACACACTTCGCTTTTTCATTGCATACGTAATGTCATTCTATCCTTCTTAATCACACTCCCACTCGAATACACCAAAAAACTAGGAATATTCGCTGAACACATTTGAATCACATGACACACTATATCTCTGCATTGTAGTGATTTTAAAGTCGTTCTAATTACTTATTCAATTCCAATAACTCTCCGCTTCGCAAAATTCCCTGATGAGACGATAAAAATAGAAAAAAAATCACAAAATTGTAACACTAGTTCAATTCAACCATCCTATCTTCGTGGAGAACTGATTGCAGCGAAGTGCAAGTATTTACAAATCCCCAGAGTCGAGATCGTTCGATTCCTAGTTATATTCAATGTATTTACTCAATATTACCGTGTTATACATAGTTGTTCGCAAGGACACCTTTGTCTTTATTAATTATCGTTGATTTAGAATAATGTTATTACATTGCTCCAATTATGGCCTTGTGTGTTTTATTGGAATCGGTAAAAGCATTCTACACACAGGTACCTTTGATTGATCCTTTACATTATTAATAAATTGATCAAAGGCATTATTCTCAATATCAATCGACATCGATATTTGCATTTTCTGTGATTCTTTTCAATTAGTATTTGTTTCATTGTTATAGTATTGTTTTCTATTGTAAATGAATGAAAACAATGTCCAATTATGATATTTTTCCAAGTTCTTACAAAAAGCACTGGGGTGTAGGTACATAACCTGGACTTATAACTATATCTAGCTCAACGTATAAAGTGCTTGCGGTGAAACAATAACTCCCGCAATATTTTTATTACACGTATAAATAAAAGTTATATTCTCATTTATACTTCGCGTATTACGGCCGGTTTAACGACGTAATTTTTCCAGTAAACTGAAACTTAAATGCAACCGTGATTATTTTCTCATAAATAGCTTTCAGTAAAGATATGGGAGCTCCGTTCCGGAGAAAACTCAAGTCTGTAGCTGCAACAGATTCAAAATTTAATTAATTCCATGTTTAAGCTGTCGAAAAGTTTGAGACTTTGAATTTCACAGTTTGCCGGTTAAATGGAATCTTTAAATGTATGAGTGTGTAGCGAAATTAATTCAGTACCTACATTACTAACGATGGTTGAAGTTTATTTAACACAAAACTGTTAATCATTATATGCGCGTGCTAAAACGACCACAATACACCTACCAATTATTCCAGTCGGCCTTCGAAACCGCAAACATAGGTGAATTGACAAATTTGCATTTGCATGAAGTTACATGATTGTTCCGACCGCGTCCAAGTATACACGCAATGTTGAGTTAAGGGTAACAGTTTGCCATGCATGCTTGCATTTATACAGTCGTCACTCGTTTGCACCACTTTCTACACCACTTCTACTTTCTACGTCCATCAAAACACCATCTTGGATTGACATTTATTTTCAAATTCACATACATTAATAAAGCTTTTCATTTTTATATTTTCAATAGTCATTCTTAATGGCCAAAGCTAATTTTTTTTATTCTTTCCTTGTAGCAAGACTGCCCGAACGGCAGGTTGACACCAGCTAAATTCGTAGACATGTATAAGATGTTCTTCCCATCCGGTAACGCTGTAGAGTTCTGTGACCATGTGTTCCGTACCTTCGATATGGACAAGAACGGATACATTGACTTCAAGGTAAAACATTTGAAGTATTAGCTAAGCGTCGTATTAAGTCATCCAATCTTAGTATAAGTCTTAAATACCTGTAATGAACTATTTTTAAACAACAGTTTGCTATTGTTGCAAATGCAAGTTCCTATGCGCCATTGCGACTCGCACAAAGTTAAATATTTCTTAACTTACTGCGATTGACTGACTACTTGAAAAATTTTCGCTTGCGATTTTAATTGTTAACTATAGCTATAACTACTAACGACACCCACGGAACAAGAGATCCATTGTATTCCTTGTTTGTACTGGCCCCGACTCGCGTGGTGTACCAAGACTACTTTGTTATAGGAGTTTCTGCAGGCCATCCACGTCACGTCAAGTGGCACTCCTGAAGAAAAGCTGAAGTGGGCCTTCCGCATGTACGATGTTGATGGCAATGGAGTCATTGACATTCAGGAGATGACGAAAATCGTGCAGGTTTGTTTCAACTGAATATTTTGCAGATCAGTACGGAGTTAAACCCTTTATTCGCCGCAACCTGTTGCTGTAATTTAATTACGAAAGAGCAGCACGTCACCTATCAGGAAATTGCCTATCCTAAAGAAAAGCCAACTCTTGCAATGTGGTTGTGTAAAATGTATTCGGCGATAGTGTTCCCGGAGCATAATAGATGAATCATAAATCAGTTACGTTTCAGTATCTATTTTCTGTATAAGAAACGGTTTTGTTTAGTCTCGCTCGTGTAGGTACCTATTTGATAATTGTTGGACTGTTTTTATCATAAAAATGTGGTATCACTTCATACCTGGTGTGTCAACAAAACGACGGTAATATGTATGTTCAAAAATACATTGCACTTGGAAGACCTTCCAACGCCCATCAAATAAAATGACTAACATTGACACAATGTTCAATCACAAAGCGCTGTTAGATGTCACGCTAAACCCAAGCCTTTTAATTTAAACGTTTTGGATCGGGAAATCTGGTGACAGAAAACCTGTTACGTCATCAAGTGACGGGCTCGTTCTTTTTAACCGGCTTCAAATTGAAAGCTTACACGTTAGACTACCCTCGATGAATTTTTGAAACTGAAACATTGTCATAGAGTAAAATAAATGGGAGAAGGAAGAAAATTTGATGAAAATAAAAGGGAGATTCATTTGTGGGCAATTTGAGATCGCGAAGTGAATAGGCATGCATTTTTGTCAATGGTTAAATACTTTTATTAATAATTGGCACTCGACCGCTAGGTATACTATTTCTTATTATTGTGTTCTAGTAGTAACCTACTGATGTGATACGGCGCGAATGTCTACGTTGGTAGATAATCCTCTAATAAGTTGCACCTAAATAGACGTACTGCATTTGAGGTAACATAAACAACAGACCAGAGTGTAAGCTGTTGACATCGTTTAATCATCCTAGTTCCATTTCAGATACGATTATGATTTCAATTACCATTTCCCGCTGTAGTATGAAGGGCGGTTTTCGTTAATCCGTTTATTAAATTGAATAGGTAAATACGAATTTCCAATAAATACACTGAGTTTCACTGTTGCATAATATGTATATGTATGTCATCGATTTGTTTAAGTTGATTCGATCTTCGTATTAAGATCATTTGTCCAGATTTAGACCGGTGCATCTGTTATTCCTTACACATTGCAAGGATTTTACAGAATATAAGTACGTCCGGTCGACTTTGTACATCGCTTTAAATTAGCAGATCGAGGAAACAACGAGGTAAATACGTTATCGAAATCACATGAGGCGGCAACATCAGTAACTCAGTTAATCGCTTTATATGTGTGACATCGAAGCTGGACACATTACACATCTGTTAATGTATGTGTGCAATACTCGTTAGGTAAACACAGTCGCTTTGAGCGGCTCTTAGGGCACCGGCCACAAACACATGTAATTACACATCTACATATCGTACTGATCCAATATTAATTACCCCCGACTGCGGCAATTACGTGGCTGGATGTCTGTATTGAGTTCCAAGTTTTCTTTTGAATTCTCCTACTTTAATTTTTTTTTTATAAATTCTGTTTACCGTACAAAAGCAATTACACGCTATTACCGTAATAGCTTTCTTTCTTCGATGTGTTTATAAATTGTAAACAAATTGCATACAACGGCTTAATAGTTCCTATAATTTATTTTGTAGTACTGTTATTGATTCTCGTAGTTCTTGTAAATATCTTAGTGGCTAAGTGCAGTGAAGGGGTTTCTAACCGTCAACTGTAATTTATCGTCATTTTTAATAGTTATTTATTGATGGAGAATACTGTTTCACCTTTTTTATTCCCACCCTTTGATTACGTGGAGTATTACAAATTCACGTATTTTAGTTATTCCTTTTTATAGGAGCTTATTATACCAGTAGTCCTTTGTAATGGAATTGCTATTGTTACCGTATTAACGTTGATGAGTAATGAGTACTTACGGACATTATGTTGGTAGGTACTTTCTTTCTAATAGCACCTGTTTTCTCCCATACCTTTTTATTGTATTGGTTTCAAGAAACGTGGGTGGTATCATTTTGGCAAATTTATTATCTGTACGCTTTACAAACCTAACACTTTTTTATTATGGTTACCAAACAGATTTAAGCCCCGGTCTTATACGCTGTCAGGTCAGACGAAAGTTCTGCGGTAATCTGTTCCAGAGTAAACGAAAATAAAAGGAACTCGCTCTTAAAAATACATCGACCTTTCTACAGATACGTGCATTATCCACAATTTTTTTTTTTTTAATATATGTATCTAATATCTCGAAGCTGGTGAAAATTACGAGATATAATGTAACGTTTATTATTTTCTTCACATCTTGGAATATTTGAAAATTGTTACCGGGTCTTTTCGCTAACGACAAAATAATATGTCTTAATTTTGTACAACAATACCAACTTATATATATACTAATATTATAAAGAAGAAAAATTAGTACCTATTTTAGTATGTTTGTAATGAATAGGCTCAAAAAGTACTGGGTAGATTTAAAAAATTCTTTCACCAATAGAATGCTATATTCTTCCAATTTGACATAGGCTACATTTCATTTTGAAAAAAAATAGGGCTTGGTAAAATTTGAACAATGTAACCGAAGGTGTAGAAAAATGAGTCTTAAAATGTCTTTTGTCGAATGCGCTGCCGAAACTATTAGCGATAGAACAAAATAATGTACAACAATATTGAAGAACATCATAATGTCTACAAAAAACTCCGCGGTAGCATATGTCCAACTATTGTAGTTATGTCACTACAACAATCCAAAATTCCAAAAATAAATAATTGTGTACCCCGTGCGAAGCCGGGAGGGCTGCTTGTGGTTTATAAATTGACATGGTAGTATGATGTTCATATTAACGTATTCACAAATGCAAAATAAACTTTTATGTCAATAGAACGACTAATATACTATCTACACAAGTACACATACTGCGCTTTCACTAGAACTGAAAATACTCATAAAAGTTTCGTAATTTAGGTCCAGCTTTAAATACTTGTTCAAACTCTGATTACTGAATATAGTTGTAGTTATTGATCAAACTACTTAAAAACCTTCATACAAACTTCAGCCGAGCTTATTTTGTATTCTTTGTTTAAACGAGAATCCTACGCCTTGAGTGCACTTACGAAACTTTGCCTGTAAACACGACGTAAAAGGTGCAAATAAACTAGTTTTTTCAAATTACTTCGGACCGGTAGAACTAATGGAAAGTGTACATAGACACGGGAAGAGCTGAACGTAGGTGCACGACATCACGACATCGACATTCTAAATTAGTAGTGATAAATCGGTAGTCCGGACAAATTGACCGTACGGAGCCGTAACCGGAGATAAACGTGGTTGTGTCCTAGACTAATTACCCGGAGGGGAACCAAAACCGCAAGGGGTTGAGCTCCACATGTATGCCTATGCATTGTTCCACACACCAGATATGATGTGAAGCTATTGTTATGTACGTTTTTGTCTTAGGCGGATTAGGTATACTCCGGGAATCATTTTTTCCTTGACAACTTACTATTTGTATACAATTGTGTTCCTTTTTTGCGCTTTCCAGGCTATCTACGATATGTTGGGTGCTTGCTCTAGCAACCGGCCAGCTGATTCTGCTGAAGAGCGCGCCAAGAATATCTTCGCTAAGATGGATGAAAACAACGACGGACAACTGACGCAGGACGAGTTCCTGAAGGGCTGTCTGCAGGATGAGGAGCTTTCAAAAATGCTGGCGCCTTAAATCGGCGATTAACTTCTTTTAACCCCGCGATCCGTTCTCACATACCCACCCCCATTGTATGCCTCACGATAACCCGACGGCGTCGTCTTGTCCACACGGCAGCATTTAAAGAAAGAGTCGTTGTAACATTTTTATACTTTCAGTCAACCATTTGATCATTAACCTTACATTCTCACTGTAAATATATTTTCGAAAATTAAAATTCACACGTACATTTCAAAATTTTATATTCTGTACAAAAGTTTAAATCAAAATTCGTGTATATCTTTTAATATTTGGAGAAATTTTAATCGTTGCGGTGTAAGTGGAGGTAAAACCGGGTCAGCTTTTATCATCGAGTCGGATCTAATACGGTAACGGTGCGGTTGTGTGGTGTTGCTGTCGTGTTGACATGGCATGAGTATGTAGCATGTGTCTGTGTAACTCACATTGTGTTTGCGCATCCCGTGCGAGTCTACTGCGGCCGGCAATTGTTCACTAACATCTGCTCGCAGCTATAAATGAGTCACGAATCATGCTAAATTGTCGTTGTACCTCGCCCAATAAACACAGGCCGAATCTACTGATTGCAGCCGCATGTTGGCTTTACAGCCGAAATCACAGCTAAAATCAGACACACTCCAACAATGTAAGATCGGTGGCGGTTGTTGCTCGGCTCGGGATGGGGTATTTTAGGCCCGACAGTTCCTATTCCCACATGCGATACGGATATGCGCTTCACAATTTGCTTTCTCACGACGCATGTGAATATTGTCGATTGTAAAAAAGTATTGTAAAATTAAGCTACTATTGATGTAACGAAATTGACGTCAATGAATCCTCGACTTAAAAATTGTCCATTCCTAATGATAAAGTATGAATGATAATATAATGTATGTGGAATATGTCGCTGTCGGATTGTCCACTTCGCTAATAGTATAAGATTGTGTCCGAACCATTCACTTCGTAGCGTTCTATCTATGACTATTCCTATATGTGACTCTCGGTCTATCTGGTTCAACGCTATATTCAATCCGATGACGGATTACTATAATAATAATGCACAGTATAAATCTTACATTCTAATATTAAGGCAAAGTTAGCGTAGCTATGTGTGTACAGAATCGGTCAGATTGGTTGAACAAACCTTACTCGTTGCACGCAATAGGTAGGTACAGCGCTAACAAGATTGTAGCGAACATCACGACGCGATATTACTATCACAAACAACACACACTGACAATCTGATCTGTTCTGTCGGCGTTAAGTTCAATTTATGTAAGTTAAAATAACAGTAATATTCTACATGAATAAACTTTATATTATTATCGTTTCTAGTTATTGGTGTTGTTTATTATTGGTGTAATTCGTAAATTCGTCAGGAATCTTCTCCGCACCCGGGCTTGCTCCCTGTGTCGCCCGGGCAGGACTCACGCTTCTTTGTCCCCGTATTATTTCAACGCTTTCGTACTCTCTATTCGTGATACTATCTCTTATCAATTATTTTGCTTTGTAATCTTACCTATCTACTATTTGTACTATTCATTGGAGTATCGTGTGTCCCAAATCATTTCCCCACTACTGTGCCTTCTAGTTCCCTGTTGTAAATAGTTTACAGATTCACCTTTATTTATTTTAACTACTGTCTAAGTTTACCCCTGTTAATTTTGCCAAAGGTGGCCAAAAACCTAACCCTAAACCAAATTGTAGTGTGCCCTAGTCCCATATTTCGTGTTATACTTAATTTTAGCGTTTTATTGTATTACTTAGTCGCAGTCTTCACCAATAGCCACTGGCCGCACACAGTCGAAAGGGTCGCGATATTATTATTTAATTTAAATTTAACTACTTAAGCTGTGTTGTCTTCTTCTTTAGTTTTCAGTGCATAAAGTAAGATTATTTAGATAGTGTATTTATAAGTAAACAAACAGCGCGCAAACAACGCACAATTATGTATACAGGCCCAACGTGACGTTGGCTTGAATCAAATACATAAGTATTTTTATATTTGTTAGGTCTGTGTTGAAATATATTCCCGAGTGTCGTTGGCAATAGGTGTGCGGAAGCGCGGTCGTCGCCGGCGGTTGCTCGATTTGTGGTGATTTCAATTTGAACTGCAAATCTCAAGTCGACAGCCGTGCGACATGCCGCAATCACCGCATTAGATTGTCTTCGTACATATTTTATTCCAAAATCGTGCAGTACTCTCGTGGGAATCTCCGCTTCCTTGTCGCATCAGGCTCACATCCTATGCAGTCGATTTTATAGCAAGTTGAATTTTAACATTTTATTCACGCCCGGAATAAAGTGTCAAAGCACTTTACTATAACACCCGTCAGTATCAAGAGATGCAAGCGGCTGTGTACGTTTCTGTAATGAGCGCATATTGACATTAATTTCCATAATCATGTGCACTGGAAGCTAACATCCTTGCATTAATTTGGTGTTAAAACATTCCATGTGATAACGCAGTACACTATAGTCATTAAGTTTTTACTTATATTTAATGTACGATTATTTCATTATAAACTTGTATGATTTGTATAATTTTGATGGTTTTATGGGTAAATTGTAAATTGTATTAATTTATTTTGTTATTAACTCTCTAACTCTATAGGTAATTTCGATTATTTCATTCAGTTCCCAGTTCAGAGACAATTGGACGTACAATACGATTCTCCTTGTTGCCACGACGAAGTACGTCACATTAGAGGAAAGTTTAACACGATCATAAATTGACTGAATTTTATACAAACATAGAAGAAGGATCAATAATTCTCATCTCGGACCTGAAAGTAGCTTCGCAGACAGGGTGTTGTGTGACATATCAGAAAAAGATTTTCGATTGGAAATATAGAACTTTAAATAAAATTTAATTGGAATGTATAACCATTTCCTAAAAATATCGCCCTAGGCGTAACGTACTCTGTCTCACTAACAGGCAATTATTTGGTTACGGCTCCAACAATGCCAGTGTACATATCCCAAACGAAACAGTTGCAACTTAAATTCAACATAATATTTAGTCAATTATTATATTCATAAAAGTTTTATTGAGAAAGTTAATTATTACGCGACCCAGGCCTATGAGTCAGTTGCTACTGATCTTTATAGTTACGGTTAGCTAGGCTCTGCCACCCATTGGCAGTCTATGTGCTACCCTATTATCCAAACTTTATCTCTTACTACTTGACTCGATCACTTCACTGCGAAACAAATCTTTATGTATGCACTTCTACCGCACCACGTATAGTAACTTTTATCATAGGATTTAAAATATTTCAATCATAGAGTCGTAAAGTCAATGTGGATTTAATAAGTTCGCTTGTGGTTTGAGTTCTTAAAATTTGCCATGAATTTGTGCCATATAATTTTGATTACATTTTAAATCTAGGGCGAACATTGGCAAAACAGTTATCATAAACATCCGAGTGAGGACGCCACTGGCAGCTTCGTTTGAAATCTCGTAGTGAGACAATTCGTTCTCTTTGCACATAATCGCCCATTTTTATACTTAAATATTGGTTAGGACATAAGTGAATACTTTCTTATTGGTCTCAAATATGTAATCTCAATCTGTGGAAGTATGTGACTACTCTGTTTTGACCTGGCAAACTTGTCTGTAACCAGCATGTTATTTATATAATTAGCAGACATTACAATGAATTAATTGTTTAGCCTATGTGTTTATTTATTTAGTAAAATTATTAGGTATATAAAATATTTAAACAAATTATATAATTGGTGTTATGTTAAGTGTGTAAGCGAAATGCCGACTTGCCCCTGGTAATTAAAAATTAATGCAAACAAGCATCGAATTTAGTACTCAAGTATTAAGAACGTAAGAACAGCTTCCACTGGCAAATGGCAGTTCGCGTAATTCTGAAAAACCAACAGAGTAGTTACCTTTTTGAATTCTATTTCGTTAACGTACTCTTAGTAGTAAGCTTCAAATATATTCCTTTATTTACGCTGTATAATTTATTTAATATATATTTTAGTGTAATCTATTGTTTAAGATATTATTGTAACTATCTGCGATAGTCGCACAAACCAGGTTTACTTGTATATTTTTCCTTAAGTGCAGCTACTTTATATTCAATGTATTTGCATTTAGTATGTACACTATCTTTGTATTAAAAATACGATTACATATTCGAACGTTGTTAAGTTACTGTCTTGACAAAACTGTACCTAAGCGGTGGTTACACGCGAGAATAGTCGCTCTATATCATATTCTAACATCACAGCAGTTGTACTAGGTCAGCAAATATTAGAACCGATTGTTCGCTCAGAATAAAAGTACTTTCCAGATACCTACTGTGTGGACTCCGCTTTACATCTTGAAGTCTCAGTAAAGTATCCCAGACTAGTTATTTTACACTTAGTTTTGATTATCCCAACATATTATGTACTAAAACAAAGTATCCACAATGTGTCCCATTTAAAACTGTTGTATTACTAAGAATACATAATATTTTAATGAATTCACATTTTGCCTATTTATGTATATGATAAAAATAATTATAAAACAATTAGTTCATAAATAATTTGTCTCGTTATTGTATTGTGCACGACAACATAGTTTAATAATAATTACTAATTATAATTATTAGGTATCAAAATCATGTAGTCAGTTCTTTATTATAATGAGGTGGGTATGATTTCATTAAATTCAATAAAAATCATTAAAAATAGTTGTTACTAACTCAATCAGTTAACCCCGATTTTAGTTTCTTTTTTGTTTGTTTTTTTGGAATGATGAAAATGAGAGCCCGTCATACTGATCTGGTCTTACCAAAGATCTGAGAGACTCTTGGCTAACATGACGGAATATGCAATATAATGATAAACACAGGATAACAAAGTAGATAATAACACACATATTGTAAACAAGGGCCATCCCTGAACTAACTGCACACATACATAAAGTTCGAATATAAAGTTAAAACTTGTATATTACAAGTAAATAGAATTACTTGTTCACATACACTTAGGTACACGCACATGTATACGAATAAACTTAATATACACTTACACTTAATACATACACAGTATACACTTACACTTACAGTAACGCGTCCTGGCACAGACATACACGCAAACACACATACACACACACATACACACACACACACACACACACACACACACACACACCAACCAACACATGCACACAAGCATACGCACATATATAAACACGCATATGTACACACGCGCATCCCTACGTAAACACCCACACGCACACTACCGCATTTGCACACACACAGATACACAAACACACTCACACACTTATGATGGCCCACTCACATTCATAAACTTTATTTGTGTGAACTACACGTACACTAAACGCACACAATGGCTGTTGCACCTCCTACTGCGAAGACACGCCCCAGATTAAGTACCTGTCTATATCAATTACATTCAATAATAAATTCCTGGAAATGGCGCAAGCGCAATCTCGTCACGCTTCCATTCGCCACGCCTACTCGTTACCTATTGCAGGAAAATGAAAATCCTTTCATTATGTAACACTGAAAATAAATAAATAGAGCTCGGAATTCTCTGGGAAATCACTGTTAAATGCAGGCATACAAATTGAATTCAACAGTTTCCCCCCTCGAATGGAATTACAGCTTAAACTCCCCCCGTTTTCCACCCTTTATCACTCATACCATCACAGTGACCTCCCACCTGCAGCTCGCACACATACAAGTATGTTGAAAGTATTTCTCGCAACTTGTTAATGTGTGTCTCCCTGTACACACTCGTACATAATATACTATATTAAATAGTTTCACATTTAACTGCTAGGGCTGGTACATGATTTTGACGAATTACAAATAAACTATAGTGTCGTGTGCATTCGCCATGATTATTTATTTTTATTTATTTTTGCTTTCATTCATATTTCTAAAGTTAACGTTTTTACGAAGGCAACAGAAGGTCAGACATTTCTCTTTAACTTTTTTTTAGACTTTATTTACACACGGTATTGCAGCTTTTATTTTTGCCACATATATATTTCAGTAAGTGACGAACTTATAGCTTATTCTCATAGCGTTTGTAAATAAAGTAAAAATGTTATATTTACAAATACTATAATAATTAGTAATAAAATAACTCGTAATAAAATTGCATCATTCCACTGAAATTCATAGTTCGAAATTAAAAGTTTTGCTTTCGCTTTGACGGAAGTTCGTCATCGAAAACTATTTCAACTATTTCGTTATTACATACAATTCTCTATTAAATTACATTCGGGTCTTCGTGTTAAAATAACTCGCATATTTCAACCGACACGTGGATGTTATCGATCCCACTGAGCTATTTTAAAGCACATATGATATTCTTCTTTTTGATATTAATATTACTATAGAGTCTATATATCTATCGATCTCTTCCGTATACAATAGAGATTATACAATCTATTGTAGATGCATTTTCTGAACGACTCTGTGGCTCGTTGTGAGAGTGACATATTAAAATCGTCTCGTCTTCGCTTCGTACCTAGCCGGGATATTATTAAACTTAGAATTATTTTTAATATCTTCTATTAAAATAGTTCGAACTTGGTGATTTTATATAAAATATATCGGCATATGGTTGTGCTGAAATGTTTTAAATGTATTTCTTGTAGGGAATTTGATTTGTTTCAGTGGATTGTGCAGTTTTGTTGCAAAATCATTCCATTTGTTTATTTCAATGTGTTTTTTCAGATATAACTACATACTTGTTATGTTTTAGGGCACAAGATTTCTCTACTCACTAAAAGCAAGCAGGTTGTGTAATATTTTAACGTCCTTTCTGAAATATAAACAGACAGCAAAATGGGAAAACAAAATAGTAAATTAAAACCAGAGGTTTTGGAAGATCTGAAGCAGAATACAGAGTTCTCAGGTATATATGAAATTAATGACTGTTATTTTATTTCACAGGAGTATAAAGACAGCCACCAGCTTTGTGCCTATTTTAAATGATTATAATGATAATAATTTCCAATGGAAAACGTTCTTTTGGTATTCCTAGTGTTTTATGTTCTATTTTAGTTTCTTCGAACTGTATCCAATACTAATGTAGTTTCATTAACACATTTTGTGCTGAAATCTTTCAGATGCTGAGATACAAGAATGGTACAAAGGCTTCCTAAAAGATTGCCCCAGTGGACATTTGTCTGTAGAAGAATTTAAGAAAATATACGGGAACTTTTTCCCATATGGCGACGCTAGTAAGGTAATCAATGAGTTTGGGTTTATATACTTTTTACATAACGTGGCTTAAGGAACCTATGGGAACAACATTCTTAACAAATGATTTGGTTATATGTATGTACATTGAAGATGGTTGTCGATGGTTTCAGAACTGGACAATGTTAATATTTTTGAAATGGCATTTTATGCGGATGCCAAAACAATAGAAACCAATAAATTTTTGATCATATTTGAATTCGAAACCAAACCTTCCTCGAAGAAAATTATTTTTTCTTAAAATAATTACATTTATTGATTAATATTAAAACAATATTTATCATATTCTTTCAGTTCGCGGAGCACGTGTTCCGAACATTTGATGCTAATGGTGACGGCACGATAGACTTTCGGGAGTTCCTGTGTGCGCTGAGCGTGACGTCACGCGGCAAGCTTGAACAAAAACTCAAGTGGGCATTTTCCATGTATGACCTCGATGGCAACGGGTACATCTCCCGGCAGGAGATGCTCGAAATTGTCACTGTAAGTATTTCTTAATTTTTTCTGTGACATTGGTAGGACGAATAACCTGATGGTAAGCATTCGGCGCCGCCTATATACTCATAGCACCAGAGGAATCACAAGCACGTTGCCGGCCTTTTAAGCATTGCGTATTTGGAGATTGGGGATTGGGATTGTGGATTAAAGATGGAGGGAAGGGATGCAAATTTTATATCACGCCGGTTTACGCCGCAGTACGATTACACGTACTGCTTACCCTTTTGAGAAATCATAATCTTTAATTCATAAAAATTGGTTTCGAGATAGCCTGAAGGGACAGATTTATTGTGGGAACTCGGTCAAAATAGGACTCAGTGAAATAAAATAAATCCCTTTGTTTCAGTTGCACGTTGTTAGTAGTTTGTACAGTTGTTTGGATTGGTAGTTGACTAAGGTCAAAGACAATTAGTCGTTCGCTTTCATTCGCATACTTTACACACGTGGAAAGCTCGTCGATTGTAGTGTAGAACATAAAGTTATAATTAATATCAAATATTGTACAATTGTTAGTCTTCTGCCTCGTTGGCCGAGTGGTCGCAAGTGCGACTGCCGGGCAGGGGGTCTCGGGTTCGATTACCGGATTGGGCAAAGTACTTCTGGGTTTTAAAAAATCTCAGTAGTAACACGGAGTCTGGAATTGTGCCCGGTATATGGCAATAGGCTCATCCACCCCCTATTACATGGGACTCATAACATAAATAGTGAAAAGTGGGTGTCACATTGTACAATGGCATAATATGCACCTCTGCCTCTCCTTCGGGGATAAAAGGTGTGATGTTATGTTATTTGTTAGTTTTCCCAAATTAAATAAAGTAGGACAGTTTTATATTGCAGTTGGGTTTGTTATTTGTTACGGGGTGGATATAGCAATATTCTCTTAATTGTATAGCAAACATGGACTTAAACATATCTCTAGAGAACTGTTTGTTCATTAGTACGACCGGTAGTTTGGTTGATGGGACATTTTTTTTAATTTAAGCATGTTTAAATAAAAGTCAGAGAGCAGTAGATGAAGGGTGCCTTGAGTTAGACGATCTCGTCATTTCAACTAAAAACAAAAAGTTTTCGATGAAATATTTTTATCCAGTCATGGTGATAATTTATGTGCTGGATCGTAATGGAGCATTATGCACAATTATCTGAATTAGTCTCAATGGACCATGAGACTGTTCGACATTTTCCTAGCTTTTTTACTACTCGGTTGACTTTTAACTGGGTACTCTCTTCGAAACTGTATTCGCTTATCCTTGATTTTTTTATAAAGTAAGCCGGTAAACACCCGGAACACAAGAGGCGTTACAAGTGCGTTACCGGCCTTTTGGGGATTAGGAATTTGGAGATTGTTGAGGATTGGGCCTTCCCGTAACCTCACTCACACGACGAAACACAACGCAACTTTTGTTTCACGT